ACCGAGTAGTGCAGAGCCGGGAGAAACCCTGCCGAAGGCGGGAGGATGAGGCTGCACACACGGACACACCATCCCTTCCTCGTTCATCCCACTCCAGCCCTGTCCCCTCGCTTGGCACTGCCCCCCGTCGTGGCACTGACGGCACTTCACTGGGAGGAAACGAGACTATATTGCACGTTAAAACGCGTAAACTGGCACGGCTCCCACGTTCCTGGAAACATCTTTGCTCCACAATTCTGCTGTGCAATTCAAGGCAGCAAGGCACGACGTGCCGTGGAGACCACAGAGTAGTTTATTAAACAGAAATAACTCAGAAGAAAACCCCACCCGCGGCGGCTGAGACAGTTAAACCGGACGAGACCAGGGTTTGCCGGCACACCGAGCTCTCCGTGGGACCACGTGAAATTAAACGTTGTCTTCCAGCAGCTCCGATCACCGAACGTAATCCAGCTCTTGACTGATGGGGAGGGATGCACCTTCTGAATGGACGCATTCCAGAACAACCACCGGATCTGTCCTGGGGACAGGGACTGTAAAAGCCACAGGACTTGGAGCTCCTGCGCTGCTGAGGCTCAAAAACCACGCAGGGGCCTCGTCAGGAGGCCGTTTCCCTGCTTCTGCTCCGAGCAAACACCACGCGTGCTTCACGCAACAAACCGCTTCACCTACGTCTGGAAAAGACACCTCAGAAGGATTTTGGCAAAGCCCGGGCTCAGCACGGCCACCTCTCCATGGAAGAAAACCAAATATTTTGATCCTTTCTGCTGCAGATGGACTCACACACGCCAGCTGACTGCTCAGGGCCACGCCAACCGCGTCCAAAGCGACCTGATCCCTGTCTCTAAAGACACCGCCGCCCTCCCAGCACCACGACAACACTGGTTTTGGGAAGCTGGGCATTTCCAAATCTGCCATCTCCACACAACACAGCGCACGAAGCTGCGGCGCTCGTGCCCTTCGCACACGAGGGTGGTGGGCAACGCGCCAGCGCGCCCGGTGAGAACATGCGCACTTCTACCACCAAGATCCCACCTCCGGATCGACGAGTTCTTCCAAAGCACCCACATCCAGGCTCTTCCGTACCTGGAAGAGGGGGCAGGTCATCGGTGTTAACGCTCAGCAGCTTCGGCCACACTTTGCAGCGAATCTCATCCGTCAGGAGCCCCCCCTCGCTGATGGCCATCCGCCGGAGCGCCGCCACGTCGATGGGGTCGCTGTTCAGAGCCTGATAGATCTCTGCCACTTTCCTTTTCTTCTTAGAGTCGAAGTCTGCAAGAAGATGACAAAGAGGCAAGATGATGGGCAATGCCAGCACGCGGGGGGACAAAACCCACCCCCAGCGATGTGGACACACACAAGGGAGATGGCATGGGACAGTTGGCACGTGTGTGCCAGGACAGACCAGGGACCACCCTGGTGGGCCGACTGTCCCCATCTCCACTGGCTCAGCATCAGGGGCACCTCATGGCTCGCACGGGACCCC